GACACGCAAATTAATCCAACTTTTTCTAAAAGTAAACAACTAAAATTGAGTGATAAACTTTTTGAAATTGACAAAATGAGAATGGTAAAAATTTTTTCCAATTAAAAACTAACAATGAACATTTTCAGTTGGAAATTCATTTCTCTATGATGTAATGAAATTGATTCATTCAATACTCAATTAAAATAAACATTAGTTGCTATAGAAGATTGAAAATTTAACTAATAATCATAGATTTTCCAAGACAATGATTTAGCTAATAGCTAAAAGCGTTTGAAAAGACGAAGAGTGATACACTCTGATTGATGTAAATTTTAACATAATGAAATAATAAAAAGTTTGTTCACAAAATTTCTTTACAACTATTTCATTTTATTTAACACGAACGAAAATTGAACAAATTAAGCATCGTTTATTTTATCAAAATTTGCAGTACATCTAAAATAATTCACGAGAAATTTCACTTAACTCTGAAAACCATTCATTATATAAAAGTTTACTTCCTTTTAAAAGTGCGCCATCACAGTAAGTAATCATAAAATTGCATCATTTCAACAAAAATGCGCATAAGTGCATTTGCCACACAAATATAACAGAAGAGGTTATCGCTATCAGAGCAAATGTTATCGCTATCACATTAATTATTATCGCTATCATGGCATGGATTATCGCTACCATGCCATGATTAGATTATTGCTATCGCAATAAAAGGTTATCGCTATCATAGCAGTGGTTATCGTTATCATAGGAAACGACTATCGCTATCATAGTAATGATTATCATATCACAGTTATCACAAGAGATCGTTATCCATAATTCAAGCCTACAGCTATTTTAACTGTTTTTCTTCTCCTTGAACCATAAAATTAAACTTCTCATTTGCAACTTTAGCTGGCTACACATACAGCAATGATATTTTTTATGATATTATTATATTTCATTGGAGAAAATCAATTAATTAAGTTTTAATTCATTTAGGTCCTAAGTCATTATTATCATTTTATGAATTAATAAAAATTTCAATTCCAACAAAAAAAGTAATAAAATTTTTAGTGAGAAAGGGATAAAATCTTCAGGCATTGTAATACCGGAAATGATAAAACGATGTAAAGTATTATTGAAAGGTGTTATTTCAATTTCAAATATTTTTTTAAAAATGCAATTTAAAAAAAAAACAATGTAAAATATGAAAACCTTCGTTGTGATTGCTAACTTTTTCATCGTTCATTATTTCTCACCATAATCCGGAAACAGTGTCAAGTCCTGAAATAACGCTTAACATAAAAAGTCAAGGTCAGTAAAACATTTAGAATGTTTTCGTTACATTACATTGGAATTTCAAAAAATTAAACTTTTTCAAAATATAAACAAGTATGATTACTAGGCAATCATCACACACGAGGATATGACAATTGAGGAAAACTAATAAATTAAGCTTTAATTCATTTCATTCCTAAATGATTGTTATCATTTCATGAATTAGTAAAAATTTCAATTCCAATCAAAGCATAAGATAAAAGATTTTAAGTGAGGAGAGGAAATCCTCAGGCATTGTAATATCGGAAATGACGCAAATGATGTATGCATCATTTATATCACCATAAAAGTGTCACAACAAATATGACCGGAAATATCGCTGATCATTCGATCTATTCGATCAAACAAATTACTATTTGATCGTATCCAAATTTTACTCAATCAACAGTATATAAATAGTTTAGTTCATTGACCTTAATTAATAGCTTTTAGGAATGTATCGAAGTAATATAACGACCTAACTGATACGTATTCTAATCGTTATCATCATTTTAACCTCTATATTTGATAATTATCAGAGAACGAAAACAAGTTCATAAGGGATGGGAAGAGAGATTTGAGGAAAGCAACCAGTCATCAATCAATCATACATTCAATATTAATGCGACAACTGCCATCATTACCGTCTCCTCAAACCTTCTGTGGCAGCGATGATGTCAACTTTTAACATTTTAAAGGTGACATTTTCTTCTAATTCCTGCTTCTTCACTAGAAAATATTTGTTTTCGTAGTGCTTTTGAAAGCTTACAACACTTTAAATCTACAAATTATATAAGTGCGCATTCAGGCACACACATATGTGTTCCTTTCT